CTGTTTCCTATGTCCTTATGACAGCTTGGACTGCATCTGAAAAAAAAGATTAAAGATGTTTGGATGATACATTATGAGTGGGAGAAAAGAAAGAAAACCTCAAGAAACTGAACAGACCATCATCCAAAAACAACTTTGCTTTGGGGTGATGGGAACACTTACTAAGACTCTATCATAGATTAGAAATGTGCTGCAATCTTAGAACAGTAGAATCATTAGGATTTCATAGAATCATAGAATCATAGAATGCCGAAGGTTGGAAGGGACCTCAGAGGTCATCGAGTCCAACCCCCCTGCTCAAGCAGGGTCACCTAGAGCACGTGGCACAGGGCTGCATCCAAGCGGGTTTTAAAGATCTCCAAAGAAGGAGACTCCACAACCTCTCTGGGCAGCCTGTTCCAGTGCTTTGTCACCCTCACAGTGAAGAAATGCTTCCTTAAGTTCCTGTGGAACTTCCGATGCTTCAGTTTGAAGCCATTTCCTCTAGTCCTATCCCTGCTCACCACTGAAAAGAGGCCGCCCCCCTCCTCCTCACTGCCTCCCTTGAGGTATTTATACACGCTGATCAGGTCCCCCCTCAGCCTCCTCTTCTCCAGGCTGAACAGACCCAGCTCTCTCAGCCTCTGCTCATAGGGCAGATGTTCCAGGCCCCTGATCATCCTCGTAGCCCTGCGCTGGACTCTCTCCAGCAGCTCCACATCCCTCTTGTACTGGGGAGCCCAGAACTGGACGCAGTACTCCAGATGTGGCCTCACCAGGGCTGAGTAGAGGGGGATGATCACTTCCCTCGACCTGCTGGAGACGCTTTTCTTAATTTGCTGATCATTGCTAAGAAACATCAGATGTAAGCTGGTATCAAAAACTGTAATGTCAGCAATGGATTTAGCTATTCCTATTAAGAATTCTGCAGTATAGAACATCTAAGAAAGATGTGTTGACTACCTTTTTTATTAAGTTGCAAAAGCATATAGACATTCAACAATTCACAACTTTTACTCCAGTATGTGGTTAGAATAAAGTTCAACTTACATACAGTAATATAATGAGATCAAAACAAGTCATTTTTTCAGATGCAGTAAATTGTAAAAAACATTCCCATGAAAATCTTGAGTCCAAAAGCAACACACAATAAAAAGAACATAACTAGCCTTGCTTCTCCCTAAGTAATTGAATAAATTCCCTTGTCACAGCTAAGGCAACTCATAACCCATCAAGGTCCAGCACTGCGAACAGGCTCTATCATAAGTGAAAGTATTGCCCTTTTGATGAATTTTGATTATAAAACCAAAGGTTCATTAATCTCTGTCATTAATGAGATCATCTAAGGCTCTATTGGAAAAGGAAAAAAATAGTAAAAAAAAGTGTCATGCAACTGTTGTGATTTATTTTTTTGATGGGAGCTGTGCTTATAGATTGTACATAGTTAGCCTAGATCAAGTCACACCAATTCCTTGATTTTGCAGCTGTTGTTGTATTTCACTAGAAATGATGGTATTCAACATCCCTGTTCTAACCCAGAAGTTATTCAAGATGCTTTACTTCTTTAATTCTTTAGTCCACGACACTGAAAAAAAAAAGAAAAAAAAAAGAAAAAAAATAAAAAAGAAAAAAGAAAAAAAAAGAGAAAAAAAAATAAAAAAAGAAAAAAAAGAAAAAAAAAGAAAAAAAGAAAAAAAAGTGTTTGGTTTAAAGATCCATAGATAAAGGGCTATTCTTTGAAAATACCTCATCAAAGCAGAGCACAGAGGAGAATAACTACCATCTTGGGTCATTTCTGCTAAATAGGTGCCATCCGTTTCATTAATTTGATTGAAATGGCAAAATGAAAAAGGGACTTTTTTTCTGTTATTGTGGTTCAGTTTCACTGGCCTTCAAGTGTCCATGGGTTTAAAGTATTTTAGCAATCAGCTGTGATCGTAAGTACATGTTTGGATATGCAATATTTATTTAATGTTTAGATATTTTAGATTATTTCATTTGAATAGATTATATAACAGATTTATGTCCAAATGGGTGATATGTCCTGTCTTTCAAAATGATAATCAACATATGATGCATTTGGACTTTGGATGCATTGACGCTTTTTGATGAATTAGCAGCATGTAATACAGGCTGCTAATTAAAAATATGGTTGTTTAATATATAAGTACAGGTTACCTGAGCTCACCTGGGTGAGCTTCATGTATGATAAACTAGAAAAAAACATGGCACTTCTCCTTGTAGAGACTACAACAGCTGGTTTCCTTTGCTGAGGTTATCAATTTTCACATGCAGCATGGACTGTAACTTACACTTGGCTGTTTGCAATTTTACTGGAGTAATTTTGTAATTTCTAATGTATCTGATATCTACTTATTTTTATAATCCAAAAGAGTTTGTGAAAGCAGCAAAAAGCCTTTTTCAAGGTTTCACAAGCATTCAACCCAGTAGATCTGTTTTTTGGGTTTTTTTTCAAAAATGTTAGACATACTGTTCAATGAGTAAGGATCTCTTCACACTAGAGTTTAGCCTATATTATCATGGAAAGTAACTGTTATTCCTTCTAGTGGAGCTTGTCTCCCATACTAAATTGTATTTATGTTTTCATTTCAATTGCAAGGTGCTCCCTTTGTGAGCAGCTAGCTTAATTAAGGGCATGCAGGAGGGGAGCTTCAGTATCTGATTTACTGCCAGGATTACCATGGGAGAGAGGCTCTGATGTCACAAAACCTTGAACAATGCCAGGCTTAAATGCTCCAAAGGGAGCCAATTTTCTACACCATATTTTCCAGATTAATAAGGTAGGACAGGTCTGCCACCTTGGAATAATATATTAAATGATACTGAGAAATTTAAGAACTTTGAAAAACAGTTTAGAATTTTCATATAGCTTAATCTACAAATAATACAAATACTAACACCTACTAGTTACATGTTCAAATGAAACCTTCAGTAAAAGCAATAAGAGAACTGGTCAGTGTTTGCTGTCATTGCATTATGTAGAAGTTGGCCTGCAGCCCAACCCAACAATGTTATACACCATATTTCTTCCAGGAAAGTAATTTCTGACTGCAAAATCGATTTTCAGCTCAAGTAGCTTAATGTAGGATACTTGGACTAGTTCAGAAAGGGCTGTCTTCATACTATTTTGAGTTTCTTGATGCTGTTGGACATCAGAAATCAAAGATGAATTTTGAACATAATACAAGCCATGGGAGCTTTAGAGAAGCAATTTTGATGTGACCTCCTCTAGCCCAAGGATATAACTGCAGATAAGGAGATTTGTTTTTTAAACATTGTCAAGGTGCCAAAATCCTTTTAGTTCAGAATTTGGGTTAGATGTCTTTCCCCTGATAAGTGAATATATTAATATTATTAACTTTCTAGCTTTTTTTCTTTTTCATACTGGTTTAATCAAATTGGCTTCTGTGGTTCAAATTACATCATGATGGTATTTAATATTTTTTGTCTATGTTATATATCTCTGTTAAAAGATAAGATAAAAGATGAATTAGAGGCAGGTTTGGGAAAGTCTTTCTGTCTGAAAGCAGTAATATGCACAGTTTTGTAGTTCCCATTGAGTTTGCAACACAAAACAATGCAGTAGCAGTACATAGCGATCACACTATAAAACCACATTTTACACAATACACACAGATAAAAACGAAAAAATAAGAATGAATACTGTGGACCTTCATCATTCCTAGTGCTACCTTGATGAAATTGAAGAATATATTATAAAACCTAATGAATTACACTGCTCTGTGATGACCCATGACCATGGGAGATCTGTTTTTAAGGGTGGCTTCAATTCAAAACAGGAAAAATTTCCTGGGTTAAGAAAAGAAAAGCAGTCTGAACATTTCTTGAGGCTGAAACCTTGAGCTGTAGCATGGAATCTCACTGCAACTTGACTTTTTTTTTTTCCCACAGCAGTACAAGGCAAACATTTCTACAGCAAAATGAAGAAACCTCCTGGGACATCTTTTTAGTTTCAGTCTCTTTTATGAAGGAATCAAAAAGCAGAGTGGGGTCAGGCTCAGCCCACATGAGGTTTTAGCAAGAAGCAAATTTATATCCTCAAATTTGTTTCTACCTTTGAGCTTCACAAGAATATTTAGATTACTCAAATTCACTTCAAATTAATGGTTAACCTCTTACATATATTTCCTTGGAATATAGCTCTCTAATCTGTTTACATGCATCTGTATACACAGTTGTGATGACTCACTGCAGTGAGCATGGTGTCAGAATCTGCTTGTTTAGTTTATTGTGAGTCCAGAATAACTGTACAGGAAACAACAGAATATATTTAGTTTTATTCTGTTGTAACTCAGGTCAGAAATGGACTTCAGAATGCTGTATATCCAATGACAGCACCATACATTATGGGGATATTTTTCTTCTTTTTTTTTTCCTCAAATACACTTCCTGTTTAGTAGGGAGTTGATAATTATATCCATACTGTTTGAGTATAATATTTAAATATTTCAACACCAGGAGAGAACTTGTTTCCAGATTCACATTCAGGCAGGAGTCAAGTAATTAAAGCAATGAGAGTTAAGAAAAGAAAAGAAAAGAAAAGAAAAGAAAAGAAAAGAAAAGAAAAGAAAAGAAAAGAAAAGAAAAGAAAAGAAAAGAAAAGAAAAGAAAAGAANAAGAAAAGAAAAGAAAAGAAAAGAAAAGAAAAGAAAAGAAAAGAAAAGAAAAGAAAAGAAAAGAAAAGAAAAGAAAAGAAAAGAAAAGAAAAGAAGGGCTGAAGGAAAATAAGCCTCTAACTTGTTCAGTTGCTGCCTTTTTCGCTAGGAAGATCTCACTGTGAGACCTGTCTCTGCCACAATTAATCAGTGCCAGCAGACAGAGAAATAGAGCTGTTCACATTTGAAGTAAGGAGAGATGAAATAATAATACCAGAAAAACAATCGTGAATAATGAGTTACAAATATTAGCTGTCTTGCATGATTTGTTTATTGTTTCTTTTTTTCCTATGAAATTCTTCATGTAATTGTTCTCTTTTCAAGGGACCGAGCTCCCTTCATCTTCACATCAGAGATGGAGTATTTCATCACAGAAGGTGGAAAAAACCCACAGCGTTTCCAAGAGTTTGTGGAGCTTTGTTGTCGAGCCTATAATATAGTCAGGAAACACAGCCAGTTACTTTTGAACCTGCTGGAAACGGTAAGAAGCTTGAGGATGAAACCAAAACTCAATTTCCCCTGGTTCCTCTTTTCTACGAAGACTTTTCTGCTGCCTCCTGAAGCTTTGGGATTTAAAGAGGTATCAGATGATACACTCTGTGAGGAAATTGTCTTTGAGCATCCGATTTCATGTACGAATATCTAACAAAAGAAAAGCTAGGCTGCCTGTTTTTTTTCCTTTTTAAATGGAAATTTAATGGAAATTTAATGGAATTTTGCCTTTTTGGCAAAACTGCAGAAAACTCGGGGCACAAGTTCTTGCATTCAAGAATTTCACTCTAGTCCTTTTTCTGGGCCTTCAAGCAGTCGTTTGCCAACCCTATTCATGCAAAAAGTAATCTGAATAGTCCACAGAGTGGCTGATGTCAAGTATGTAGTAGTGGAATGTTTTTTGCATGTTTCTAACCTCCCTTCTTAGGAGGGCAGATGTGGGAAAGAGCAAGCATTATGCTCGTTGAGACTGGCTGCAAAATCCTTCTGCACAAGGAGCTTTAAAGACCCTTGGGGGTTTTCATGCTGTAAGTGTTCCCACTGCTTCACATGCTGTGGCAGATTGTGTAAGTTCTTTACGCTGCTGTTTACTTGCATGTGAAAGGTTAATGACAGGACTTTTGCGCCTCATGTGCCGGATGAGAATAGTAAATTAAGTAGCATTTGCGAAGCAATTTTGGTCGCTTGGCTAAGGCATTACTCTAAAGAGCAAACCCAGGTCCTTGGGTAAGCAGAGGTGACTGGTCTGCACATGAAAAAATCTATAGAGGTTATTAAAAGAATGCCTGCTGAGGCCAGGGAGCAGCCAAGAAATTGCTCTATACACATTGCTGTATCATCTGAGAGATGATAAGGAGTCTGCTTATTCACTTGAAATAGAAATCAGTAAAGAAATATATGAAATGAAATGTTTTAGCTACGTAGGTGACATCTAGAAAACTAGGAGTTTGCAAAAGCTTTACTTCGGGCGCATTCCTCTGCAAAATACCACAATATGAGGAGAGAGCATGATAAATTAACCACTGCCTATTTAAATAAATGTTTCTAAATCTTTGAAAATTGACATCAGTTTGTTTTCATCTCCCCCCTCACCTTCTGTTTTCTGAGATACTATTTGTAAAATGTGGCTAAAAAAATCCAAATAATAAGGACATTTGTGAAAAGTGCAGTGCTTGACAGGAGTTGTAAGCTCTGCTCTGCATGGTAAGTAACCACTAGTGGCTTTTAGCAAACTGCAGTTATGAACCACGAGTGGAGTTTTGGCCCAATATGGTACTTAAGTCTTTTTCTTGGTGGTGAGCAGCATGTTTCTAGAATCATTCCAGCATTTGCTCTCAGGAGTAAGAAATAATCCATGAAGTTTCCATCACTCTTGAAAATAGAAACATCTGTGGGAGGCCCCAAAGTCTCGCTGGCAGAATTCAGCTGCACAAATGCCTGTAGTTCATCAGCTTTACTCTTACTAAAGAGTTGATGTGAACTATTACAAAATGGATTTCCAGAGAATGCAAACACCATTTGACTGGTTTATAAAAAATGCAAAATCCATTACTGTCATAAAGATTTTTCAGATAGAAAATTATTAATGGGAGCTTAGAGGTGACACCAGAGAGCAAGTAATTGATCCATTTGGCTACAGTGTGGATGGAGAAACAGGTAGAGCTAGTAGGGTAAAACAAGAAAAATGGTGCCTAGATGGAATATCAGTCTCCAGGATCTTATGTCCCCAGAGAAGTAATTACAGCTTTCTACAACTCAGAAGCCATCTGGGAAAAGAGGATCAGGAAAGATCTGTGTTTCAGAGGATCCTACATTGAGACTGCATGCTAATGCTATTCATTTCTTCAGGAGATGTTTAGCTGGGTTTCACACGCACCTCTGAAGCCAGACCCACATTTGCATGGAAGCTGCTCCACTCAGTGAGTCAAAAAGTCTCCAATCTTCAAGTGTGGTAGGTCAAGACATACCTAGGGTCAAAAGAAGGCACTTGCCTAGGCTTTTAGTGACATTTTAATTCTCCTGGAATAGTCAAGAGGAACTTGGTGTGTATGAGGAGCACAGATCTTCATAGGGAGCCTGTGAATAGGGGGCCTTCTGAAGCAGCAGCTGAAGGCTTCAGAAATGGCACCAGACTCTTTTGTCATTTTAGTTAATTCTTAGGTGATGGAGGAAGTGCAAACAAGAAGATATTCCATATGGAGTAAGAGGATTGAAACAATAGAATAATCTTTCTACAGCCAAATAAGCACTGTGTACCTACTGGAAATGTTTTCTGCCATCCTCTGCAATGCAGCAAACTGAGTTTTAGTTGCACTGCAGATCATTCAAGAAACAGTCATATTATGTTATTAACTGACATTGTTCTCTAATGCAAGGAAAGAAGCTCCATTTACCTATGTGACAATTTCATAATTTTAAAAGGGCTGGAATTGTTACCATCTTTTATAACTCGGTTGAAGATAAGCAAATAAAGAGCACTGCATGTCCTTAAGTGTTGAATGTTGTTACTGCCCCAATCTCTACTCACTTATCAAGTTTCATTCAATCAAGAAAGTAAGCTGCTTTGTAAAATCACCTCATTGAGTTATCTGTCTTTCTGTTCTTTGCTAGTCAGAACTCAGTGAGACAATAATTTAACTGTCCATTGGTGGTAGACTAGTCTGGTATGGAGCAAATTGTTTCTCCTAATGCCAAAAATAAAATACATAAAACTTTGAAACTTGACTTTAAATATATGTAGTGCATATGAAAAAAGCAACATATGACCCTATCCCTTTCCACTTCCTCTGAGCATCTCTCAACTAAACTTTAAGACAACAGCAGTACTTCCCTTTTTTTTCCCCTCTGTCCTCAAAATTCAGTGGGCCTTTTTGTCTTCTGTAGACATAAATATCAATGAAGAATACCCACAGCTCAAGTAGCAATTGCAGATTCATATATATTTTCCTCTGAACAATGCGAGTGAATTATTTTCTCTGAAGTACATGCAGAGTGTCACTCAGGTGACTGTGCTCATTGAGAAAAATCACTTGAATTTGAAGTGAATTAGAATTATTTTTGTTGCTGATGCTTCAAAGTGCCTGGAGAGATTGTATGGCCAGTTGGGCGCTCTCAGTTGCTTGTACTACCCATTGCCTTGAACCTTTAGTTACAGCAAGGGGAATATTTGCACTATCTGTCTTTTGAACATAACTTTTGAACGAAACATAGCCAACTAACAGAAATACCATGTGTCTCTCAGCTTCCTGCACTGTCTGTGGAGAATGATACGCCTCTCCAGAGGGCAGTAACCCCATTTCATTTAAATTGTTTTTAACTAGTGCAGTGGACTAATGATATTTCTTTATTTTAAGATGCTGCATGCAGGATTGCCTGAGCTAAATAGTATTCAGGATCTGAAGTATGTGTATGACAACCTTCGACCTCAGGATTCTGACCTCCAGGCCACAAGCTACTTTACAAGGTAAAAAAAAAAACAGAAATGAGTCTAAAAAAATATGTCCTTTGGACATGAAGCAAAGCTGCCAAATTGGAGAGAGAAAAATAATAATAATAATAATAATAATAATAATAATAATAATAATAATAATAATAATAATAATAAAAATAAAAATATTAGCACAGCTTCTCTCTTATTTAAAGAGGTAATCATTGAAATTACGCAGAAGAGTAATTTGTCTTCATATGTTTATTTTTAAGAGTCCATTCCTTATGCTTACCAACAAACTCATCAAGTTCATGAAAGAAACACAATAGTGCACTGTGATACACTTGTAACAAGTTTCTTACTCAGTGGCTAGGTATTTTCTTCAAATTGCTTGGCTTATTTCTAGTCAGCTTTGCTCTCTGATTTTGAAAGCACTATCTCAATACAACAGAATTTGGATTGCAGACACTTTGGATAATGGTTTTAATGTTGACATCCAAAAGTTTTGAATTTGAATAATGTTTGCAATGGGCTTTGTAAAGTCTTTTGCAAAATATTCGGCTTATTAGTGGGCTAGATACTAAGTCAGGATGTTGAATTTCTGCATTATATTCCTGGTTCTGACTTTCTTTTGACCTTCTGAGTTGCTTCAGGCAAGTCACTTTTCCTCTCTTACCCATAGTTACTCTAGCTGCAGAATGGTAATTCCTCCCTTCAAGCACTTAACAGATCTATCAGAGTAAAGCATCACATATCTATTTAGGTGTATTTAAGGCTTGATTTGTGCTAGGATAATAAAATCTTTAACTTGTTTGTGATAATAACTGTCATTTATTGACCGCAGATTGACTGCAGATGACCTATATTAAATGAGTTCAATGTCCTCAGTCCTGGTCTTTTGGGACAGGCCCCTGCATCACATAAAATTCCAGCCATTTATGTGATGATGCTCTACACGGAGCCAATGGCGAGTGAACGGATTTGGATGTGGAAGCTCTTTCCCATTCTAGGCACTCAAACGCTCCAAGTCAAATTCTCCCGACCTCTTAGCCCCAGTGCTGAGTGCAGGGCACGTGTCCCGTGTGCGTTGTGGGGCTCCTTTCAAAGGCCAAAGGGGGTCTCCCCCACGGCAATGTGCTGCTCTACACAGCTCCAAGTGCCTCGAGGCAAGAGCAACCCCCTGCCCTGCCCTGCAGCCGCAGAGCACATTGCAGTGATTAGATGAGATGAAAGCTTGAACTGGAGCAGCTGAGCCGGGCTCATTACGACTGCAGAAGCCCACATGAGGACTTTTGCCAATGTGATCTGGATTGTTTATAGGTCTCCCTTTTATGTATTAGAAACGGAAACTGAGGCGGCAAGATTAGAGAAATCTGAAGCAGAAGCCTGAAGAGTTTAAGGCCCTTTTCTGAAGAAAAAGAAGGGAACTTTGCAAACAAAACTATCATTTTGTTGCTTTGCACGTGGGAGAGCATTCAGTTCTTTTTTTTTTTTTATATATACTTTCCCTCTTTTGCTTTAAAAAACAGTTGTTTTATTTTAAAGTTTAATTACAGCTTCACATTTCCTGTCAACTCCTACCTTATCCTCTCCTTAAAAGTTTCACATATTCCCAAATTACAGACTTGTATTTCCACTTCAAATGGGAAACTTGCAGCTTTTAATTAAAATATAAAAATCTTGATTCTGCCAAATAGGCTGAATGGTGATGTTTGTCTCCCTAGAGTAAAACATTTCATTTAATTAGAGAAAAAAGACCAGGATATGCATAACAACTAGGGAACTATGAGCCTTTGAGTGGGAATTGCATTAGTGTCACACAAAGCCTGGAACTGGAACTCAGTATTCTTCTGGAGGTGGAAAGAGTCCATGTGCTTTTCAGCTGGATAAGACTATGGTTAAGCATTTCAATGCAGTCTTGCTTAGCCAAGAGATGAAGGACAGGAGGTCAGGTTAGGGCTGTAGCTCCACACTCTTTTGGAGGTAGATGAGGTAATTGTGGTTGTTTTAGTGAAATGAAGGACTTCAGAGTGGAAATTAAACTGAAGTCTTCCTTAGAGAAAGGAGGTGGGACAAGAGCTGGTACTAGGAAGGAGATGTCAATCAAGAGTGTTTTGCAGAAGGACGGGTCAATGTGCTTTATTGCTCAGTGAGGTTCTCATTAGGATTAGAGTTATGATTATGACTATGTTTAGTGAATCGAGCGCCTGTACTAGAATCCTGCCCAAGCCAAGGAGACAGTATGTGAATCCCAGAGACCAGCATGTCCTCCTTCGAATGGACTCCTGTTAGGCTTGGTATTAAGGAAATGAAGGCCTTCAGAGTGGAAATTCCACTCCAGTGCTGCTTACCAGCAAAACAGCCATCATGGCACACGTCTCTATAGTGCTGTGTGCTCTGTGTGGAGCTGTATTTTCTGCTTTGATACTTCTGGTGAAATCTATAGCAATTATTTCAAGTATTTCCTTCAAAATGCTGAAGCATAGATTTGTTATCACCCATAAAGATCATTGTATGACATAGAAAAATCAAATATTGATAGGATGCATCTTTTGTTCTTTAATACTTTTAGCTTATATTTGTGTATGTTTATGTTACATAATGCTTATTTGTAAGAAGGAAGTCTCCTTTGATGACCTTCCCTGGATCTGATTTCACTTGGTCCTTTGTTTGGCTTTACTCTTATTTCTAATCATATTTGAATATAATCAATTTATGTTAATTCAACAGATATATTAACTAACATTTTACAGACTTGAAGACAGATTTCACATGAGCTATCCAGACGGTCTTCAAGATATCTAGATCTGATGTCCATATCCAGGGTGATATCCAGGTCAATGTAGAACTCTCTAAGCATTTACCAGTCTCCCCTCCAGCATGTTACTAATACTGTGCTTTTTGGTACCTTTGCATTATCTGCCATATATTTATGCCCATCCTTCAGCAAATTTCTTGCTTACCTGCTTTTTGCACAGAAACTCTCATGAGAGAGAATCTCATGTTCTCATAAGAACATGAGTTCTCACAGAACATGAGTTCTCATGGTCAGTCTGGATTTTTTCCTCTATCTATTTTTCAGGCTGTCCTAGAAAGCCTGTGAAATTGGAAGTTCTGATTATTAGCATAGTGTCCAGACTCTCTCAATTCCCCTGTAATTTGAAGCTGCTTTTTCTCCATAATTACTCCCATAAACATTTAGTTATTCTGAATAGAAAGTTCCTTTTTAGATAAGGAGTGTGGTCACTGAATGTTAAAAACTGCCAACAGAATGTTATTTCATGTTCTAAGCACAGGGTGGTTATTGTCATCATTCAGATTCTATCATATAATATATCTGCTGGAAAGCCTAACCTTCTGCTAGCAGAAATAGAGAACAGTCTTTCTCTGTATTTATGGAGAAATAGGTTGCTTTTAGCAATTGTCTAAGTTTGGTTTGTGCAATAATGCAACATTGCCTCCACTGTTATTTAAGACCAACGTGAAATGATGAATGAGATCGCAGATACTTCTGGAAAAACAATGTACTTTTGTTCTTTGCTTTTCACCTTTCTAGTCAACAGAATAATGTGCTGGAGCTTAGGCTTACATGCCAAGCCTTTTCCAGATTGCAAAGCATTCTGTGTTTTAGCAAATTCTTTTTCCCTCATTCTTGATTGAAGACACATTCAATAATCTATGGTTGCATTTGTGTACAGTTTTCTTCTCACATTGGGTCAGTCCGCTATTATGAGCTGATGAGCAGCAGCATTAAGCCTCACAGATCACAGCCTTCTGGAAGGTCACACTCTTGGATCATGCACAGACAATGTACCAATTGAGAATAAAACAAGGGCTTCTGTGTTTGCTCGTCATTTCTGTGCACCTAGTGCCAAATGAAACACTCTTGTCTCTCCAGCATCTGCCCTGAACTCAGTTTGATCCTTGAAACTGAATTTGATCCCTTCCCCTCCCTTTTTTCCCCTTCTCCCAATAATACGGTTTTACCACTGAAGCAAGAAAGCTATCTTACCTCTGAATATAAATTTCCTCTTTGGTTTTCTGCAAAATGTAATCTTCAAATGTCAGCTTGGTGTTGCATGCTGCCTGACATTTTAATGTTCTTGTAAAGTTATGTATAGTTCTTTATCCTTTAAAATTATTTTTACAGGATCAAAGTTAGCCTAATTCAGTGAATGGAGCTGATTTGAATTGATTGCAGTATGCAGTCCAACTCATCTCATAGAAACCCATGAGTGCAGGATGCACTGTGCTTGTGCCAATTTTCAGAGAAACAGCATTGTGCATCTTCAGCAGCCTGATTAAGGGTGGGCTGCTTAGAAGTTGTCATCTCTCACCTTTATTTTCATTTAGGTACCTGTCATTCCCCAGATCAAGCATATCCAGTCCATGGTCCATATCCAGACCATATCCAAGCCGTGATGCCAGTAATTAAAAAACTGGACAACTCACAGTAACTCCTTTCAAAACAAATTCACATTAATTCATTTCAGAACACAGGACTAATCTCAAGCTGATCAGCCAATCTCTGTTTCTCAGTTGACTGCAGAAATTCCAGCAACAAATCTCCTGCATAGCTTAAACACTACCGGAAGATTTCTGAAAGGGCATGCATAGAAAAAATACCCTGTTAAACTTACTTCCAGTTGCATTCAAGCAGTTTGTAAAGATCACCGCGAGTGTGTCTCATAGGAACAGAGGCAAACTTCTTCCTCAAAGCTTTGTTTTTTGAGACATTTATACTGCTGTACAAAACCCAGGTGACACCACATGCACTGCATGGCTCTTGTCAGCAGCTCAGGCAAGAGGAATGCCCTGTGTCCTGGGAGACGTGTGTAGGAGGACTAGTGGGGATGAAGCTAAAACAGAAGGCATGCTCCAGGAAAGCCCCTAGAGTGTTCAGCCTGTGGGATCAGACTAGAGGTAACCTAAGATAAACCTTCAAAAGATATCTAGTGTATCTACTGGAGTCTCAGCACCTTGGTTCATGCAGTAAATCCACTCCTGTTGGGCTTCAGTACTTTCTAATGTAGTCT